CTGGGGTGGGCGGGTGGGTGGGAAAGGCAAGCTGGGGCTGAAGTGGGATAGCCAGTTGTGCACGGGAGCAGTGTATCCCCAGCAAGGAGCCGGGATGCAGAGCAGCATGAGGGTCTGTGTCCAGGCCAGGGACTGTGCCCCATCCCTGCCGCTGCCTCCGGCCTCTCCCTGTCCCCGGGGAAGGGGAACCCACCCGGCGCGCGAGCAAGAGAGCAGTATGCGAGAGAAACGAGATGTGCGCTCGCCAACCCGGCGCAGGGCCGGCTCCCTGGGGAGCCCCCTCCTTTCTCTGGGCTCTCCTGCTTCACCTCTTAGAGGCTTTTCCCTGCTGTTTTCCAGCAGCAGCTGCAGCTCAACGCTGAAACAACACGGATGCAATTCCTCCTGCCAGGGATACTGCTGGCAGGACCGGCTTCCTGCCCAGCACCCATGGGTGTTGGGGGAGGCACTGGGACTCTGCCTGTCGCTGGCACCCAGAGCAAGAGCAGCACTGTCCTGGCCCACATCCCAGCACCAGCTTCTCTCCTCTCCCAACTCCTCCTGCATCCTGGGAGCCATCCCTGCCAGCAGCAGCATCTTCTCCTTGTCCAGCCTTGCCGCTCCAGCCCATGTCCCTGCACATCCTCGTGCATCCACATATCCCGAGGACGCTCCCGAAGGACAACCAGTGCTGCAGCATCAGCAGCCGCCGGCAGCACCCGGGGCCGGCTGCCAGGAGCGGGAGCAGCTCTCGGCAGCTGGAGCTGACACACGGCTGTGCTGCGCCAGGTCCCAGGGATCTCCCAGGGATCACGGGAGCTGCGGTGTCCCAGGGGTGCAGGAGCCACAGGGCCTTCCCACCTGTGCGGCGCTGAGGGTGCACCCAGGCTCTGTCCTTTTTGGTCACACCACCTCCTCCCTTGCCACATCCCTGACTCTTCTACCCCATCTTAGTCCCAGCAGATACCCTCACTGTCCTCAATGTGTTAACGAGCCCAGAGTGGCGCAGCCACCGTGTGTCCCCATCGCAGCCAGTGACGGCACTGCTGCAGACCCCGTTCAGGGCTACCTGCTGCAGGGGACAATGCGGCTGCTGGCCCTGCTGGCCCTGCTCGCTGCAACGCCCATCCCTGCTCACCTGCAGGGTGTCCCTCCAGCCCCCATGCTGGGGGAGGGATGGGGACAGGGCTATCAGACCCCTGCAGCCACGGGTCTGGTGTCACTGGGGATGCTCAATCCATGAGGCAGGGCTGGGTGTCACCCACGGCGCCAGTGCAGGTGATGGGGCTGCCCCCAGCTTTGGGGTCACTTTGGGTGTCCAGGAGGGCAGGGGTCCCCTGCAGGCAATGGTAGCTCAAGGACCCAGGTGGTCATCACTCTGGGAGGCTTGGAGGCTCTTTGGGGTCACTCTGGGGTGTCCAAGTCTGGGGCTCCTTTCAGATCAATCCAGGACATCTTTGGATGTGGGACTCCTTCAAGGTCACTACAGAGCACTCAGGGAAGGCAGGAGCCCAGTGGTCACTTGGGGGTCTGTGTGGGGTCTCCATAGGGATGCAGGGGCCACCTGGGGACATCCAGGAGGTCTCTGGGGCCCACGCGGGGACTCTCCAGGGTGACCCAGGAGATGCAGAGGGGTCAATTTGGGGTATCTCTGGGCCTGTCCGGAGTGTTTCTGGGTTGTCTCCAGGGAATCAGTGAGGTCTCCCTGGGACGTCCTAGGAGACGAAGCAGGGTCTCTCAGGGGTGTCCCCAGGGCCCTTGTGAGTGACACTCTGGGTGTCCCATGAGACCCTGCAGAGCCACTGGGAGTCTCCGCAGAGTCCAGGGGATGCAGCAGGCTCCTCCCTCACAGGCCCCTCAGGGTCTCTCTGGGTGCCTCGGGGGATGCACGGAGGTCTCCCCGGGTTGCCCCAGGGATGCAGCGGGATCTCGCAGGACTCTCTGTGCCCACTCGGGGTCTCTCCGGGAGGCCCCGGGCCCCTGTGAGCTCTCCTGGGAGGTCCCCGGGGGCTCTGCGGCGGCTCGGGGCCCTTCTGGGGTCTCTCGGGGATGTCCCTGGGGACGGCGGCGTCTGCGCGGCGGGGCTCGGAGGCGGCAGCGCGGCCGCTCCGCGTCGGCCCCGGGGCCGCGGATGGGGGGTTGGTG